GTGGATGGTTTTTGGTTGTTGTGGGTTTTTGTTGTGTTATTTTTTTTTTTCCTTTCGATAGAGAAGACTTATCTAGACAAGATGCAATTCTGGCCTGTTCTGCACTGAAGAAGATGTATAGGCGTGTATTAGTTAGTGGAGCATCTGCAATTGAAAGCCACAAGCCAGAGCAACCAGGAGAAAACGCAGCACTGCAGATCCTCTTTGTTCATTTGGATGGGCCTATAGACATCATTGCTGGCCGCCTGGAGAAGAGGAGAGGCCATTTTATGCCACTTGAACTTCTCAAGTCTCAGTTTGATACTCTGGAGCCTCCTAGCGCACCAGAAAACTTTATTACTGTCAGTCTAGAAAAATCTCTCCCTGAAATAGTGCTGGAAATCGAGAGCGCCATTTTTCAGGGTGAGGCTTTTCTGGAGTAAGTTTCTGAATTACACATACAGAAATGCCCTTAAGGATATCAAGGGTATGAAACAGCATTTTAATTATTAAATTGATTATTAAATCAAAACAACTTATTTTTCCTGATACTTAAATGGATTGCAATAGTAAGAGCTGGTTTACTACTCTTGGTATTTTTATCATGGCTCTGTAAAAAACATGTAAGATGAAATTTTCAAGAACTTTTCAAACCCATCACCGTACGAAGTTAAAACTCCCATTTTAGGAAAAGCCTGCTAAGGGCCACACACAATAATTTATTTCCTCCATTTGAATTTTTACGCTGTCAAACATGGAGATGAGCACATCTGCTATTAAGTGATAATTTACAGCTTTGTTAGAAACAATAGATTTATTTTTCTAGAAGAGGCAGGAACATGCACGACAAAGTTTGTTGTCCTTGCTAACCTCACCAGGGCACTACTGACTTCAAAGGAGCTTTTGTGAACTCTTGCTGTATGCCTTCAACACCAAGCTGAAAAATGTGAGAAAAAAGGTAGTAGTAGTGAGGCAATAGACAAAATATAATAGTACGGAAAGCTTCAGAAATAAAGTAAAAATGGCATCATATTGGCTCTGAACTCCCATCTTTTATGTACAAAGCGTACCAATTGATGAAGTGCACGGGGGAGAGTCAACCAGTGATCTAAGATACTGAAATCAAGATCGACAGGTGTTTACTTCTTTTAGAAAAAAGCTGGACCTTCTCCTTTATTTCTCTTTTCTGGTGTGCTTTAGTTTTCCACCTCAACCAATATCCAGTCAAATATATGGATAGGTGTTCATACAACTGCTTTAAAGCTTAAGATCAAACTGTTTCTAATACATATTTTTCACAACTTTTTTTTTGTGATTGGAAATTTCCAAATATCCAATGAGTTACCTAACTCAGGTTAAAATCCTCTTTTATTGCCAGAGTGATTTTTAAAAAGTTATTTACGCTTTGTTACACAAGAGATGCCTTTTTAGCTTAACTTAATGAAAACTGCAGATAGTTTCTGTAAGACAAAAGATTTGAGTCACATCTGGAGTCATCCCCATATGCCTCCAAACATGGATTATTTTTAGTTTGTCATGCAATTTTTTTATTTCTAGGTTGATGGATGAACTCCTTTAGAAGGAAAACTAATGTTTCAAAGTGTCTTTGGTGTAATTTTTGCCTGGATGAAAAAAACATTTGTCTTGGTTCTCATTTTGTATTAGTAAGGGCTTTATCATTTACTAGTCAAAGTACTGTGCTCAGATCAGTGCAATGAATGGGCATTATCTGACTGAAAGCAGGCACTTTCAGATACAAATTTGGGAGTGTAGGCATCAACAACACCCACCCAGAAGTGGTCTTTTCCTGTTTGTTCATGGCCTGGATGGAGAATAGCAGGCAGTTACCAGTTTTAGTCTCCTGCTGTACACTACAGCAGCACTAGAAAGAACACTTGCTCTCAATTCAGAGCCTGTTTATTCTGAGACCCAAGGTGCAAGCTTAAGACTCAGAGGCAAAGTTGAGTGCAAGAGACAGGCATGTCTATCTGATTCTTACCCTCAGATTTCAGAGACGAGGCACCTCTTCAGACCAAGTGACTCCTCAGAACTGTAAAAGTTTAGTAGCTATGAAAACCAAAGAAATAGCACCCGCTTGTGGTACCTCTGCTTTTAATGAAGACTATTTTCCCGATATACCATTTTACAAACAGCTTTTCTAATATATCCATTATTAAACACAGATTTCTGCACACTTTTTTCAGACACAATAGAACTAGAACAGGACACTGTACAGTGATGGGAAAGCAGTTGCACCCTGTCACAAACAGATAGGATCAGACCTTCAAGTAACAAAAAAAAACCCAGAACTAGGCAACATTTTCAAGTGGAAGTAGGAGTTCTGAGAAGGCTAGACTCTAATTTTCAGAGCTGCTTGTCACAAAGTGGCTGGCACTAACTGAAAATTTTACTCAACACTTAAAAAATGTTCTCTCTTAGGGAAGTCTATGTAAGCACCTTGGGTTTTGGAAGTGTCTTTTAAACAAAATAGTATGGTTTTACTTAGATGCAGTTCATGCTTCTTCAAATTAGGTCAGGATATTTCTCACTCTTAGCACCCAGGACAGGAATATTTTCTTCCCTTAAACTTTTAATATATTTGCCTTTTGCTTTTACTTAAAGCAAAACAAAGTATTTCCACAGCTTAAATGATGCTGAAAGGACCACAAAGCAACCATTGAAATTAACTTGCCACTTGGGACTGGCACTATTTAACATCTTTGTCAGCGATACAGACAGTGGGATCGAGTGCACCCTCAGCAAGTTTGCTGACGACACCAAGCTGTGCGGTGCAGTCAACACGCTGGAGACTATAGTGGTATAATGAGGAAATGAAATGTTAGATCCCGATAGCAGTATCCATTCATACATTAAACACAGGAAGGGTACAGTCATCTTAAGCTGCACAGGTTACCTATACAGGCAAAGGTACAGACCCAGCTGCCTGCCAGCTCAGCCCTAAATTAAAGTGGTTATTTTATTATGCAGGCACTGAACCAAGAAGAGAATTAAGACAGACAACATCCTTTACAAAACTGGCCATCTTGCAGTCACATCCCAAATAGTACTGTAACAGCGTTTGATTTGAATGTACATATTTTACATCATTTAAATGGCACCTGCTACACCCACTTTATCTAAGCTAGTAGTCGTCAACATCACACACCTCTTACTCTCTTCCCTCCACCTCACACTTACGAGAGTCGTTTACTCATCTTAGCCCAGAGCCAGTGAATATTCCCAGACCTTACACTCAAATGCCAACTCTTAAGCTGGTCAGTCATCTTGAATTCTAGGTAATCATCAATTGCAAACACACTGAGACAAGATGCTTAAAGATTTTTTTAATTCATTTATTACCTGTGCACAAGAGAAGTAACTACCAATAAAAACTCAAAAGATATACAGTATTTTTTACATGGTGGTTAAAAGTAATTAAGAGTATCACGTGACCATGAATGAAAGTAATGTTTCTATTACAAAACAGAATACATGTTAGAATCTCAGTGGAACAAGCAAAAAAGCTTTAGAAGCTGTTCCAGAGCATAAGGCAAGTGCCCCTTTAATTTGCACAATGATAAAGGTAATTTACAGTTAATCTTTGTGAATATTGGTTGAGACAATGTACCAATGCAAGTTTCTGTACAGTTAGATGTAAAGAGATAACCAGAACAGGAATTCTAATATATTTTAACTGAACTTGCTTAAGCATTTTTGCTGAGATGGTGACCAAAGATGCTGGAAGATTCTACCCCAAAAACAAGTCTCATGACTTTTTTTTTTTTTAAATAAGTAACGCAAAAAATCCAGGAAAAAGATTTCATTCTATTGCAATGTGTAAATCACTAGAAATGAGCTGTCTCCATTGTATATACTGTGTTTATACAAATTAAAGCAAAAAATGGTAGATTACACAAGTGGTATAAATCTTACAGCATTTTGCTAGCAAAAAAAACCCATGCCAAAATCACAATAAGCAGTATTGGTACCCACAAATCGTAGCTTCAATTAATTTGTTTCTTTTTTAATTTGTATTCTACATAAATTACTACTGAAGACTAATGTTTAAGTAGTAAATAAATTGGACAGTTGTAGGTCAGACAAAACCTGTTCAACCAACTGTGAAAGCTGATACTGTTTCCAAAAAATCACAAATAATGCAGAACAAAAGAAGTGTGATGCATGCAACAAAGTGAAAATGCATTGATTCCCACTGTTGGAAGAAAACTACTGCACTCCACCTTAAATGCATCAGACTGATTTTAGTTGAAACAAGACAATCCCAAGAGTCAGAATGAAATAAAGCAAATATTTTAAAGATTTAGGAGCTGTTATCAAAAATAAATTACATTTTTTCAAGTTAAAGAAACACTGCTATGAAGGCTGAGAGCCAAGCAGCCTTTCAATAGCTGCATTGATGTCTCCTCCTGTTGCTATTAGCGCTTGTAAGTTTGCTTCACGGTTCAGAAAGCCCATTGCACTCAGCTGCTCCAGTTGTTGCTGAAATCGAACTTCTGGATTTTGTAACTGCTAAGAACAAAATTTCAAGCTATAAAACCATAACACATTTAGCAAACTACATCATTTAAACACCATTGGTTCTGCACTACTCTATACTAATTTCTGACTACACCAAGATCCTAAAAATATACTACAACATAAATTCCATTCACAACTGAATCGCTTTTTTAGTATGTCAGAGCAGCTTCAAATTTTAACAGCATCTATACTTACATGACATTCTTGAACTATGGGAAGAGATGTTGGTTTGATAAAAAAAGCACTAAAATTAAACTGGGTAAATTGATGTCCCAAGAATAGTTTCTCAAAGATATGCATATAGGTTGGGTTTTTTTGGGTTTGTTTTTTTTTTACTGAAACAGAGTTCAACCTAGTAATGCAGAACAGCAAGAATTATGATGTCACTGTCGGCAATGGTGAACAGCACAGGCTTTTTTTTTTCCTGGACATAAAAATAATTTCTTTTTTAATGCTCCAAGTATGTGTTGACTAAAATTAGCAAAATTCTAATTCTCAGAAAGCTTCAGTCTAAGGCAGACTGACAGCTGTGCTTTATGGGATGATGCTGCTCACACAAAAACTCATGGCAAAATTCTCCATGATTCCAGTGGTATGAATTTCAGTTCAGAGGCATTTTTGAATGGGAACAATTACAGGACAATAGTATGTGGGAATAATATTGAGAAGTCACTTTTTGAAATCAATGAGTCCATGTAGATACCAACACCAAACCTGGGCAGCTACTGCTCATTTTCCTTTCGTTCTAATTCAACAGTTTCACACATCAAGAAATTACTACCAGTATTCAAATCTGCATACGGTTCCAAACTAATACAATGTAAAGACATAACTGGAAATTTAAGACCTGCCCCCCACCTGCTTCCCCCAAGCAACACCAAACAGAATGTTTACTCAGTAGTGTAAGATTTGACAGCGTAAGTGAAAATGTATGAGAATATGGCTTCCTACAGTGGCATCCACCAACACATTCCTGTGGTTAGATAACATGAGAAAAAAGCCTGTCAGATCAGCAAGCTGAACTCACCCACCCTGTGGCCAACAGGAGGAAAAAGCAGGACTGCCCCTTCCGCCAGCAGTCTGCCGTTACACAGTGTAAGGGTGCCACTTCAGCACTCTTGAGAGTTAACAGCATGTGTCCTTTAAAGCCAGTCTTGCTCACCAGCCTATACCTACTGGCAAAGCTGCCACCATTGCTTGACTTCTGGAGCTCTCTGGAAACCCTTGATCCCACTCAGTATGTTAACAAAATGCACTGCAGCATGGGCCTGCAGGATGTCAGTGAAGCCACATAACAAATTCAGGCTCCAAATAAACAGAGTGTGGCTATTCCAAAGTGTGGGACAAAGGCTTAGTTACGAAAAAAAGAGTAACAGCCAGCAATACAGACAAAAAGCACAGAGGTATTGGTGTGCAATACGCTTAAGGTTTTCTCTTCCCTGAGCCCACACTTCACTTGCCAGAGACCCTTATCACCTCAATCTGCCTCAATCTTTCCAAGCATTTCAGAAATTCAAGGGTATGAAGATGAGTGTATAAAAATCGATTGTTCAGAGGACACTTTTACTCAAATTTTATGTTTTTCCAGCATTTACTTGCACAGCTGCAACACCACTTTTATGCCTCCTCTGCTCAACTTTGACCAGAAGCATCCAGGGAGTGTGTTTACAATGAAGAAATAAAGTAAGAATTAAAAAAAACATCTAGACTATAGTGATGTATTTTACCTGAGCATTTGCACCAGCAAGTGCCTGCAACATTTGCTGGACAAACTGCTGGTGACCAGTTTCAGCAGTTCCTGATGCTGGACTTGTATTTTCACTGGTAACAGAACTAGGTACAGCAGACCCTGTAGGAGCTCCAGTACTTCCCAGTCCACCTAAACCAGGATTAAATCTGCATAAATGACAGAAAAAGAAATACACCACTTTAATAAATACTAGCTTGTCTCTTCTGATTTATTTAATTACTGAGTGAAAATCCTGTCAAAGACGGGATGAGAATTTAAGTACTAACACAAAGACCAGAGTCATCACTGTTTAGAAGTGCGTGGCAAGCAAAAATGTGACAGATTCTAAAACAAGTTTAGTTAAACTAAAAAAAGGCAGGAGGAGGAGTTTTTAATAAAAACTGGGTAAGTTTTTAGATGTAAAAAGAATAAACAACAAAACAAAAGAGAAAATTATTGCCTAAATTTGGAAGACAGATTCTTACCCTGGTATAAGCCCCGGTGCTTCTGTTGCTAGTGTCTGCAAGCCCTGCTGAATTTGTAGCAAAGCCTGCATTGCTCTAGGGTTTGACATAGCTGATAATGTGTCAGGATTCTGCATCTAAGAAAAGGAGAGAAACTCTTAATTGTATGCAAATGTTCGAAGTTAATCTTTATCAACAGATATTTTATAGAATCTGACATCATTTCAGAACTTGTTTTTCAACTTTATATTTGAATATTTACATGAACTTCTTCAGGTATTTTTTCTTTAAGAAAACTTTCATAGGACATATCAATTCACTTTTTAGATGTGGACAAAGCCTTTCAAATGAGAAGTATGCAAGGAAAAGTATTTTTCATTACCTCTCCTAGCAGACTTCATCTTTCAAAGCCACAGAACGGTATTAGTCCAACATCCTTCTAGAATTAGTCTCCTATGTCATACTAGTAATAAGCAAGAGTGCTGAACACAATGAAACTTGACTTATAGATACCTAAGAAAAAGTTATACAATGTTTCTTTTTCCTAGCTAAATTCAGACTGCAGCAGTTTGATCATGACTATTTGTGCATCTCTTCGTATCTGTAGTGACCTCACAGCCTAGATAAATGCAAACAAATGCACTGCAAAAACATACTAGCAAACAAACGTGTGACATTCAAGGGCTCTCACTGTGACTCTGTACTGGTTTTGATGGGGCTAGAGTTAATTTTCTCCAGAACAGCTGCTAAGGGGCTACGTTTTGGATTTGTGCTGGAAACAGAGTTGATAACACAGCGATGTTTTCGTCACCGCTGGGCAGTGCTTGCACAGCGTGAAGGGCTGTTCCGCTTCTCACATTGCCTAGCCAGTGAGTCGGCAAGGAGCTGGGAGGGGACCCAGCCAGGACAGCTGACCCCAGCCCACCAAAGGGATATCCCATCCCATATGAAGAGTTGAGGAAGGAGGACGAAGGGGGGGGGACGTTTGGAATTAGGGCATTTTGTCTTCCCAGGTCACCGTTAAGCATGATGGAGCCTTGCTGTCCTGGCTGAACTCCTGCCTGCCGACGGGAAGCGCTGCATGAATTCCTTCTTTTGTTTTGCTTGCATCAATTTACCTTTGCTTTACCTATCAAACCCACGGGTTTTCTCACTTTTACTCTTCCTATTTATTCTCTCCACCATCCCAGCATGGGGGGAATGAGTGAGCAGCTGTGTGGGGCTTAACTGCTGGTTGGGGTTAAACCACAACAGACTTCAACTAAAAACTGGCTTTCTTTTCTGAAATGTCCAGAAACCTGACTATTTTAGATACTATCCTGGTTCTGGCTGGGATAGAGTTAATTTTCTTCCTAGTACCTGGTACAGTGCTGTGTTTTGGATCTGTGTGACAATAATGTTGATGACACACTGATGTTTAAGTTGTTACTAATCGTAGAATCATTAAGGTTGGAAAAGACCTCTAAGTTCATTAAGTCCAACTGTCAAACCAACCCCACCACGCCCACTAAACCATTTCCAGAAGTGCCACATCTACATGTTTTTTGAACACCTCCAGGGACAGTGACTCCATCACTTCCCTGGGCAGCCTGTTCCAGTGTTCGACAACCCTTTCAGTAAAGAAATTTTTCCTAATATCCAATCTAAACCTCCTCTGGCACAACCTGAGGCCATTTCCTCTTGTCCTATCATTTGTTACTTGGGAGAAGAAACCAACCCCCACCTCACTACAACCTCCTGTCAGGTAGTTGTAGAGAGTGATAAGGTCTCCCCTCAGCCTCCTCTATTCCAGACTCAACAACCCCAGTTCCCTCAGCTATTCCTCACAAGACCTGTTCTCCAGACCCTTCACCAGCTTCGCTGCCCTTCTCTGGACACACTCCAGCACCTCGGTGTCTTTCTTGTAGTGAGGGACCCAAAACTGCACAGTATTCAAGGTGCATGTGTCCTAAATTTTTCAGTTTCTCTTGCTCTGCCAGCAAGCAAGTGCACAAGAAGCTGGGAGGGATCACGGCCAGCACAGCTGACCTGAACTAGCCAAAGGAACACTGTACACCATACAACATCACGCTCAGTATATAAACTGGGGGGAGTTGGCTGGGAGGGGCCGATCACTGCTCAGGCATCAGTCAGCAGGTGGCGAGCAACTGCATTGTGCATCACTTGCCTTTCTTGGCTTTTATTTCTCTCTTCTTGTTATACTCATTTTTATTACAATTATTATTATATTTTATTACTATTACTATTTTATTTTAGTTATTAAACTGTTCTTATCTTAACCCACAAGTTTTGCTTTTTTTTTCCCCCTGATTCTCCTTCCTATCCTACTGGGAGGCAGGAGGAGTGAGTGGAGCAGCTGCATGGTGCTTAGTTGCTGACTGGGGTTAAACCATAACAGCTACAAAACCAGAACTAATGGCTTATGCTAACTTTTGCTTAGAGATGCCAAAGTTAAGTGAAAAATAATGTGTTTCCAGTCACAACTTACACAGTCTTGGTAGCCAGACCTACTTCAAATAGCAGATGGGCTTATTAATATTAGCACCCTTCTCTAGACCAAATTGCTGCTTCTGCAAAAATGTTTTTGATTCCCACAGAAATCACTGATTATGGTCACACACCCTCTGGTGCAGAGCAGAATTGCAGAATAGGACATGAAGAACCCCGCCCTGGAATATTGGTGCTTAATGAGACTTAAGCATGGCAAGTTGTTAATATTCTCCATTCATCGCTTGGATTTTTATCTGCCTGATAGCTACAAGTCAGAGAATAACTAAAGATATAGCTGGAAAAGTTCTCTCGGATTTTAAAGAAAACATTTTTGGGTTCTCCAGAGAAAGCTGCTGCAACTGCTTTAAGAAAATATTTAAATTGATATTTGGACCTGTTTTACAGAAACAGTGGTCCAATAATTCTCAGAGCACTTCGGTGACCTGGATCTTGTCTCTATGAACATTATTAATCTCAGCTGTTAAGCAGCAGCAATTCTTTCCTAGTTCTGCTGGGCAACTGCCCTTTATTGCAAAAGATGCCTTCCATTATGCAGAGGAACATTCCATGGTTTCTGTCACTCAATCCCATAATATAAACACCAGTAGATAAGCAGGGAAGTACAAGCTGCAATACGGGCAACATTCTGAGAATAGCCAGCGTATTTGTCCACTTTACTTCACCTGCTAATGCTGCTGATCACCTGACCTAACATAGTGAACACAACAGAAAATTAGCTGTGCAGATAAACCCCAAGGTGATACAGACAGAAGCAGATACCCAAAGGACACAGAAATAATTCCTACTATGGCATCATACATTACCATTTATTCAGATTTCAAAACATACATGTGATACCAGCTCCTCTGATGCTACTGAGTCATCACAAAGCAGTGGCATTATGAAACACTACAGCCATTCATGTGGTTGAAAAACTTTGAACAGTTTCTTCTGAACACTGAATTTGTGACTAATTTATGTATGTGTTAATTATTTTACTCATAAAACTGTCTATGTGCAACCAGATCTTGGCAACACATAAATTTACTCTGATTTGCAAGGACGGCCTAATGATGGAACTCATGCACTGGATTAAGTTTCCAACTCTTAAAAAAAAATATCTTACTTGCTCCTACTTCGGGAATACAGTACCACTGCATACTGTGGCAGCTAATACCAAGCAGATACCCTGGCTGCAAGCGCAATGTTGTTAAGAGGGGAAGGCTGTGCTAGTGCAGTCTTTACAGGCAAAAAACTTCAGAACCCACTTCTTCTGAATTAGGTACTGACTCGGGTCTTTCAAGGCATGCTGTAAGATCTCTTTCTCAAATACTCAAGGCAGGTTTGAAGAGGTACCAGAAAAGTGAAACTTTTTTCTAGTAGTGGGAAAAGCACTAATCTTATTTATTTGCAAAACAAATCATGTTGCAAACAGGTGTTCTCTGGCTGGTGTACAGTAACAATTATTCCTTCTAAGCAAAGAAGCAAGAGCAAATCTAAGTAGCTGTCCTAGCCACAGACAAAAAAATCCATTAAACTTTTGCTTAACTTTTGAAAGGAATGGAGACATTAAGCAAGAGTTTATTATCAAGACACAGTCTAATTTGATTTCTAAAACCAATGAGAATATATTACAGAATCTAGCTTTTAGCCAAATCAGACAGACACCAGTTTATTTAAATTATTGCTCACTGACTTGCAGACATTAACAGCTAGTATCTCATCTTACTTGCTGAAGGAAAGTAGGAAGTTGTTGTCTCATTTGTTCCTGAAGTTGGGGATTTCCAGCAAATAAAGGATTATTCAACATCATCTATGGGACAAAAATATTTAACTTCAAAGATCAAGCAGTAAAAACCACAGGGGGTCTTAAGACAGCTACTTACACAATAAAAGTCTACAAAAATAACCTCACAGAATAACAATGAACTACTACTCCTTTGGCCAAAACTTGTTATGAACCACCAGCCTGAACACACTGAAGGTTTTTTGGGGGTGCTTTGTTTGTTTGTTTGGGTGTTTGGGTCAGGGTTATTTTTGGTGTGTGGGTTTTTGGGGGGTTGTTTTGTTTTGGGTTTTTGTTGTTTGTTTTCTATTGTTGTTGTTTTCATTTTGTTTCGTTGGGGTTTTTTAATCTTTTAAGTGAATGAATTGCCAGATACTTGCCAAGACAACATCACTTGTATTACAAGAAAATCCTTTT